TTATATGTGTGGGTGTAGTTTTATTTTGGTTATGGTTAGTTGGGGTTCTATATGCCTCATTTATCTGTGTGTCTGGTTCTGTTTCCATACTTCTTAAATTTTCTGCTGTTATTTCTGCACTTATTCTTTTTTTTTTTTTTTTTTTGCACTTATTCTTTTTATGTCATTTGTGTTGCTTCCTGAGGTTTCATTGACTCCTATTAGTCATACATTATTTGCCTTTGCCTCTTCTTGGAGCTGTTGCATTGATTTTTCCTGCTTCCTTGTTGATTTTAAGAGATCCTTTCTTTCATGGTTGCTAGCTACCATGCTGTCTTCAGAATGTGAAAGTCTATCTTTGACTTTATTCAAGCGGTTTTGGCAGCTTTTAATGGAAGCTTTGATTTCCTGGAAGTCTCTTTAATCTGGTTCATGCATTCTAATTCTTCTATTGTTCATTTAAAGTTTCTGTCCATTGCCTTTGTTCTTCTGTTTTCCTATATATTTCTTACTCAGATGTGCTGAGCAGTTCTTTGATTATTATTGTCATTTCATGTTTTGCCTGAGAGATTTTTTCTGATCTTATCTTTTCTATGGCCTTATGGAGTTGTTTGTTTACTTCCATTGCAATCACTTCAGCTATTTCAGGCATGTGTTTCTCAAGTTCTCCTATGTCAATGTCTCCTGGACTTGTTCTGAGTGGGGTGGAGTCTGGGATTGTGTTTTAGTCCTTCGTCTTGTCATGTTTGATACCAGATGCAGAAAGCTCAGTTTCTCCCTTCCCTGGCAGCTCAGCAAAGGCCACTAGTGTCCCTAGTTTTCCTGGTTCTCAGGCTTGCCCCTAAGTGTGCTGAGATGCACTGCTTAGTCTGGGGTTTTCTGGTAGATGGTGAAGTGTATGTAGTTTTCCCAGGTCTCAGAGGCAGACTGTGATGTCAGCTGATGTCTGTCAGTCTGATCCAGCGTCTCCTTGCATCTCAGGGTACGTGTATGACCCAGAATTAGGTTGCACTAGTGGCACAATCCCAGACCAGTGGACCTGTGTCCTCAGGCAGTTCAGGGTACAGGCAAACCAGACACAAACTGTAAGATCAACAGTTTGTGCACCACCTGATTCTGTGTCTCCAGGCAGTTCAGGATGCCCACAGGAGCTAGTTGCGGGCTGCACTGACAGAGATCACAGACTGCCTGTGTCTGTGACTTCTAGGTGGTCGGGGCACGGGCAAGGCCCAAACCCAAACCGCGGTGTCAGCAGCTCGTGGAGTGCCCGCTCCAGTACCTCACTGGTCTCTGGGCACATGCAGAGAAGGGCCCACATGTGAACCCTGGTGAGAGCAGTTCGTGGGCCTTCTGAGTGAGGATCTCCTGTCTGGTTCTCTTGGCGGCGTTCGGCTGGGAACCATGTTGTCAGCGGATCACAGCTCACCTACTGCTGTGTCTCCAATCAGTTCAGGATGTGCAGAGGAGCCAGACATGGGCCACATGAACAGCGATCACATACTTCCCATGTCTGTGACCTCCAGAAGGTTGGGGCACAGCAAAGCCCAAACCCGAACAGTGGTGTCAGCAGCTCAGGGAGCGCCCACTCCAGTACCTCAGTGGGCACTGGGTATGTGCAGGGAGGGCCCACACGTGAACCCAGGTGAGAGCAATTCGTGGGCCTTCTGAGTCTAGTGAAAATCTATTGACAACAACTTTATTTTTGAAAGATAACTTTTCTGAATGTAGAATTCTAGATTGCCAGGCTTTTTAAGTACTTAGTGATGTTATTCCATTGTCATTAGATTACATTATTTCCATTGAGAAGTCAGTGATATTTTATTTTTATTCCTTTTTTAAGGAGATATTTTAATATCTAAAATATTTGATATTTTTTTTCTGAAATTTGATGATGATACTCCTGCTTTGTTTTGCCCTGTTTGAAGTTTTTTTTGAGCTGTTAAGATACGTGAAATTAGTTTTAATCCTGTTGGAACTGTTCTTCTCTTTTCTTTTTCTTTGCTTTTTTTTTTTTTTTTTGAGGCAGGGTACTGTGTAACCCAAGCTGGCCTTGAACTAACTCATGGCAGTCCTCCTGCCTCAGCTTCATGAGTGTGCTAGAATTGTAGGTGTGTGTCACTGCTCCAGGCTGAAATGTTTTTTTTATTTTTCTTGTCCACTCTTTACAGCTATATCCCCCAAAATGAGACTCAGTTGCACATATTAGGTCGCATACTGCTGAACCAGAGCTCACTGAGACTTTGTCCTTTTGTTTTATAAGTCTTCCCTCCTCCATTTATATGCTTTAGTTTAGACCATTGTATTGTTTGTTGGTTGGTTGTTTGTGGATCAAATCCAGGTCCTCATGTATGCTAGGTTGGCCTTATATGACTGAGCTTCATCACCAGCTTCTAGTTTATATCATTCCTGTTGCGTCTTTAGGTGTTTCTTTTGTAGCATCTAAACTGCTATTAATTCCCACTTAGTGAACTTGGCATTTTGTATATATTGTAAGTCCTTCATCTTTAAAATTTCCACTCAGTTTTTTAAAAAGATTGTTTTTACTTCTTTCCTTATATTATTTCTTAAAATATCCTAGAGTACAGATAATAGCTGTTACAAAGTCCTTTCCTGCCAGCTCATTTATCCCCATTACTTTCTTGTCTGTTTTTATTGACTAATTTTTCTGTTGGTGTTGGTTGTTTTCCTGATACTTCATATATTTAGTATTTATTTAATAGTTGACATTGTGACATTTTTCATTGCTCTGTGATAGATACTGTTATCTTCTTTTAGATAGTAAAATAAAAAATATTTAAGTGAATGGATGTTTCTGGGTTGTAATAAAACTTCATTTACAAAAACTGGCTGTTTGCCCATGGGCAGTAGTGTGCTGGTTCCTGCTTTTGTTTTCAAGCTTTGTTAGAGCAAATTTAGAGTAGCCTTTATTCTAGGGCTACCATATTCCCCTTATTTAGGCTTGACCCATTTGGAGTGTCTCCTGAATGTTTGGCAAGGACTCTTTACTGTAGCTGGTTGAAACTCAAATGTTTCAACTGTTTTTTTGCCAACTATTCAGCTGGCAGTGCTCCAGTTCTTTGCCCCTTTGCCACGGGTTGATGTTATGTGCATGCCAACTCAGTATTCAACCAAAGATTCAAGCAGACCTCTAAGTTGGGTTCTGAGAATCTTCTGAGTAGCTCCCTGTGCTAAAGTGCTCTGCTTCTGAAATTCTATTTTTTGTTTTCTCCACTCAGCAAGATAACTTTGATCTGCTCAGAAGATCTACATTTGACCTACATTTCAGAAAGTATCTCCAGACAAAGATAGCTCAACAGGTTATAGAGCCTACATTCATGTATTCCCTCTTGTCCAATATTTAAAAAGTGTTTTATTATATAAAACACTGTTGGCAGGAGAATAAGTACTTCCCAGTTTCCCTATTAAGGTTAGAAGATCTTGTGATAGTTTTAAAATTTCGGACTAGTTTCTCTGGAGTTAGTATTTAGACTCCCATATACAGTATTTTTAAAAGCTCCTTGGGATTCTGATGCATAATCAAGTTTAAGAATCATGGCTGTAAGGGTCTTGGACAAACAGAAATAGTGGAGCACTTTAACTAGTGGACCCTTTATTTTAAGCATGATGCTGCTGGCAGCTTGGAACTTGAATTAGACAAAGCCACAAGCAAGGTCACCAGAGTGGCAAGAGATTATTGGAAAGGGGGTATGAGATGATTTCCTGTCTTGGAGTTTTGAGACTAAGGCTCATTGTCTGTTCTTTCTCCCAGAGACCAGATGAAAATACTGGCCAGAATTATATATCTTTTTGTCTCTTACCCACTGGTATGGTAGACCTTGCCATCACTTTTGTCCAGCAGATGGGGTGATAGAAGTGAGGAAGATGAGACTTCTGGCCTAGGGTTTGCCTGCACTTAGTTTTTCTTCAGACTAGGGGAAAATGAGTGAGAATAAAGCTACCCTTTTTTCCTCTCCCCTCTTTCTGTCTCCTTGTTTCCCTCTCCTCACTCTCTCTTACCCCAACCCCAACCTTAGGGGTCTTTGTTAAGCGAGCCATGATATTACTTACAGAGTGCCTTTTTTTTGGCTTAGAAATTGATGCATATTTTGTGCTTTATTCTTTCAAGTATCAGTATTTGTTTTAATATAAAAGTGTTCTACTTAGTAGAGTTGACATTCCAGAAAAATGTATTGGTTTTTATTCTGTGATTTTACAGACCTGTTGATATGCTCTTGGATTTATAAACTCCCTGCTTTGTGATACACAGTTATAGGGTTTTTTTTTTTTCAGCTTTTTGAGATAGGGTTTTGCTGTACAGTTCAGGCTGGCCTTGAACTCACTATGTAACCCCAGGCTGGCCTCAAATTCACAGCAGTCTTCCTACTTCAGCCTCCTGAGTGCTGGGATTACAGGCATGCACTGCCATGCCCAGCAGAAGTGTATTTTTTTTTTTTAAATAATAATTCTTAGTTTTTAAATTTTAGGTATATTGTGATAAGGGACTTTGGTTTGTTTATAGGAAATTTATATGTTTCTTTTGGGGTAGAAATGTGTTTGAAATTCTGGTTTCAAAACAATCTAGTAGTTGAGTTTTTTTCCCCACCTCTTGATATTCTTATGTGATACAAGTTGGTCAGTACAGTGAGGCAGAATAGTCTTTTCTAGTTTTGTGGGTTCTGAGCTGGCCTAATTAAAGCATTTGTTTTGAAGGATGATTGTAACCTCTGAGTAAGGATTTGGTTATTTAGAACTCTTTTGTTAGTTCAGAAATATCATTTATTCCTTGCATTCTATAGTCAAGATTCATGAACTTAGGCCTATTAGTGTCCAGTCATGAAGTCTAAAGCAGTGAATTTACTTATACTTGATTCACACTCAAAACAGTGGTTTTTCTTTGCCATTCTACAGTACCTTCTCCGGGCAAATTCCGCACCCCAGCAGCACCATCTCCTTTGGCTCTTCGGCAACCAATGAAAGCATTTAGTAACCATGGCCCTGGGTCTCCTGGTAGCCAAGAAACAACGCAGTTCACACAAACCACCTCCTCACCTGGGCCGCCCATGGTTCAGAACACAGTCCCAACAAACCCTCCCAGCAATACCAATAGCACTATGCTAACAAGACCTGCAGGGACAACTGCAGTGCGAAGTGGCTTGCCCAGACCTAGTGCCCCTTCTGCTGGGGGCATCCCAGTGCCTCGCAGCAAACTTGTACAGCCTGTTCGCAGGTAAGTGGAAAAGGTCCTATTGTAGCTTTCTTGAGCATAGCACAGTGGGTAGACTGGAATTAGTGTTATCTGTACATTCAGTGGTGAATGTAGAGAATAATAGTGGGTTCCCCCAAGAGTCTTAGTATAATTTCAATAAAATGCTACTTCATTGTTTAAAAGAAATCCTCCTTTGGTATGTTATACCAGTTTGGTTCACGTTGTTTGTCCAGAGGCCTAACATACTTAAGCATTTCAGAGGACTCCTAGAAAAAAATGGTTGAAACCACTCAATTTGATTGTGATGTTTCTTCATTTTTAATGTAATGATGTTCAATACAGGTAATAAAAATACATTAGAATGATATATAACTGCCAAGTCCAAGTAGTGCCTAAGTAGACTTTGTTTTTTTTTGGTTTTTTTTTTTTTTGGTTTTGGTTTTTCTCCGGTACCAGGAACCGAACTCACGACCTTGCACTCGCCAGGCAGGTGCTTTTGCCGCTGAGCTAAATCCCCAGCCCCTAAGTAGACTTTGAAAATGGTTTTCAAACCATGAAAACCAGAATTACCTGTGTAATTTTTATAAACATAAAGGCTTAAATTTTACTCCCAGGAAGTCTAACTTAATTGATAAGATGTGAGGCCTAAAACCTGTGTGTGTTGTTTTTTTGTCTGTATGTTTAATCTTCAAGTGATTCTAATCCCAGCTAGGTTGGGAACTATTCCTCCATATTTTTTACCTTTTAACGATAGGATTATAATAAACAAATTTAGGTGTCAACTCTAATTGAACTTTATTTATATGCTTGAAGCATGCTTTTAGCCTATAAATATTTAAATTGAATTACTTATATGTCCTTAATTCTAATACATTTTATATTCCCAAATTCAATACCAGAGTGCATTGACTTTTTGCTCTGCACTGTGCTAAATAACTTATACTTACTTTGTTTAATTTTACAATGAGTGGTTACTCTTATTTTTTTAGAGGAGGATATTAAATTTTAAAGAGATTAAATAATTTGCCTTAGGCCACACAACTAAGATCTTCAATTCCAGCTATGTCTGACTTTAAAGACCTTTTAACCACTATCACATGCTGCCTGTGGTGTCACATTCATCATTCTGCATCCCAAAATGATAGAGAAGCCATGTGGATGGAAAAAGTAGCCACCTTTTCTTTTATTTTAGTCTAGTAGCTATGTCAGCAGAAAGGGGTTAAAGGTGTCATCTGGTGCACAGCAAAGCTTGAAGTGAAAATGCTGGAGAAAGCTGTACTAATAGCTCTTCAGAGCTTTGATCTCAATAGCTCCCTGAAACAACTCTCAGAGGATCATGATGCTACCTGAAAAATAATTAATATATATGAGATAATATGGTGATGTTTTGTAAAGACCTGCAAATCATAATCAAATTGCTTTATTTCAGATCCTTGCCAGCTCCTAAAACCTATGGCAGCATTAAAGATGACAGTTGGAAAGATGGCTGTTACTGACCAGCAAAGATGAGAAAGCAGATGTCCACGGCTTCATGGATACCCCTTCACCAGACTAAAAACAACTTTTATATATGCAGACTGTTCAGATAAGACTCTTGGGATTTATAAAATCCCAGCCCTCTCTGTCTTAATTAGCACAAACCGACAGAGATGATCAAGCAGCACTTTAATGACATTTAACATCAGATGTGTTTGGTAATCATACAATCACTCTCCATGGAATCACTTTTAGTTTTGTTTAATAGAAACTCAATTGATTTTTTAATATTTGACAAAGGCCAATATCTGGGCAAATACCTAATGGATGCCAAAGAAAAATGCCCACTTCTAAATGAGAAAATACCTTTGTACACAAGAAAATGGTGAATTCAGGCTACCCAAAACTCACGTTCAACCTAATTTACTGTATAAATGGTATCAATAAATACTGTGTTAATGAGAACTAATATTCTGACTAATTATCTAAAATGTTTCACCAGGAAACTATAGATTAAATTTGGGATAGTGGGAGGAAGAAGCCTGGGCTAGAGATTTAGGATAGGTTACCTACACTCAGGAGAATTCTATAAATTACTTTTGCAGAGTCACTGGGAAAATTACCGTTTTATTTAATCTTAGTTTTGGACACAGCTCACACATCACCACCACCAGATAGTGTTACAGTGTGCATCCATCATGTTGCATTGACACATCAGACTTGTGTTTGTTTTGATTGCCAAAAGGGCTTGATACAGTTGTACAATCTTTCTCAGCTTTATAGTTCCTGGCTCAGGAAAGATGGCCTTTGCTATCGAAGCCAACTTCTTTACATGCTGTTACCCATCACAGAACTGGGAGATCTAGTTTCTGTTAGCAGGTTTCCAGGGTGGGATAGAGCAAGTAGTGTCTTTACTCTTGATACAACACCTCAGTGCTTACAACCTGGGAGAAAACCATACAGTGAGAGAGAGAGGGGGGCAAAAAAAATCTATGCACTTAACCTACAAAAATCTCTGGTGATGACAGTTATAGTGTTGCTACTAAGTGGCATAATGGTCTATTATGTGGTAGAAAAATATAGCTTGCCAAGTCCTACTTAAATTGATCCACTTTAAATTAACTGTATAAAATCTTCTGAAAATACTGTCCCTTTTGACTTAGATTCTGCCTTACATCAACTTTTATATTTTTGGTAACTTTCTACATCAAACTCTAACATGTATATATATATCCATCCTTGGTATCACTTGTTTTGATTTTATGAGATTATTACCAAATTAAAACTTGTTGCTGTAGCAGGTTTTTCATTTCTCATTGTGAGTTCTGTGTTTAAATACTTAGTTTGGACAGCAATATAATATTAGCAATCTAAAAGATTTTAGAGATCTAAGCATTTCTGTTTCTTTCTATTAAAAAAGACATTCTGTAAGTTAGCAAAAGAAACTGAGAGGGAAATGGAAGGCTTACCATTCAAGACAGCTTTGAGATTGATAGGCTGAGAGAATGATAAAACCAAGACTTCCGTTGTGCTATGACTGACACTGGGGTATCTTTATTGGCTTGACTACTTGGGAGGCATTCAGTTAGCACAGTGGCTGCAGATTTAAACCACCAATACTATATATTTTGGTGAAGAATGCAGGAAAGGTAATGTATCTTGAATTTAAAGGTGATGGGGTGGGTCTGGAAAGGATGGCGCCAGAATTCTACATGATGATGAACTAAAAAATGTTGCTTTTCAGAGGAAGATAAAGAAAGCATCTGCTTTGGTGGAGGAGTATTCCATGTAAATCTTAAGTCCGTAAAATAAAGACTAGCCACTGTCTCTTTTTAGAACCACATATACACAAAACAAAACAGGTCTCAGTTTTCCATGCAACATTTCATATATATATATATATATATATACACACTACAATCTGATAAATAAAATGAATTTTAATTCTATTATGGAACATACATTACATTTTTAAGTTAGATAATCAGTTTCAAAAGGATTATTCAGGTTATTTAACTTTGTTTTTAAATGGCTGTGTCAGAAAAATGTCTATTTTTTTTTATTAAAATACTTCATCACTTGTTAAAAATGTATTTTGGATCTGAGTTTGGTAAAGGATTATTTTACCTGCTGTTGTACTACTACAGATTATTGGCTTTTAGTTTCCTAAAGAGAAAAATTGCCTTTTTACTAAAAAGCCTTTGAGTATTGCCAGTTTTTCTGTTTGGGATAATCTAAGGATTTACTGTGGTTAGTCTTACATAAGAAATGTGGATTTGATAAACTAGTGCCTATGATTTTAACTTATGTTTGATATATAGTAGTAAGGGTTTTATGAATGTTTGTTATTTTGTGCCAACAGCCCAGAACTGTCACTTATATGTAAGCAGAGAACTACAAATTCTGCTTCCAAAGTTAATTTTTTCAGTGTTTGAATGTTATTTTTTGTAAGTGTGTTAATAAAAGTGTAAAGAATTGGAAAAATACAAATATTCTTAATTCAAGCATTTGCTGGATCATTTTTTCTACAAAACTTGTTTGTATAAAACACTCTGAAGAGTTAACTTTTCTCAGTTTTCATACCCTGGAAATCACACTTTGTAAAATTGGGGACCATTCATAACTGTCATATACTTTTTAAAATTATCTCAGTACATCACTTTTATTTTAAAAAAGCCTTTTTGAAAGAAAATTAGATACATATATGGCCCCAGATATTTGTATAATTCTAGAATGATCTAGACTATGTTTAAATTGACTTTTTATTGATTGTACAGGTTCCATTTTTGACATGACACATGGTCCTTTTGGATCACATTAAGTTTGATTTGCAAACATTTCTATAGCTGAACTTGTATATGTGATTGCTTCTTTAATAAACAGCCTGGCCATAATGTTTACTATTAAATTTATATTGGTTTTTCAAGTGTTTTATTAATTTCTGCATATGGTGAAATTCCTTTTTCCCCACTAGTTGCCTACAGTTGGTTTTTATAATTTTTCCAAGTGGTTTTTTAAGCCCACAAACTCAAATCCTATTGCCCTTTCAGATTCAGTCTTCATGAGATTGGATTGTATTTTATTCTCTCCAATTTAGTTTATTCTTGGAACTTTTCACTTTCTGTGAATTGGTATCTAGTTAGAAAATGTTGGCATTTATAAAACAATCAAAAAGCCATTGTGTAACAGCTCCCAAGAGGGAAAATCAATGCATTTTCAAACCAAATATAAATATTTAAGTAATCATTTGCATCTTTTCATTTATGGATGGAAAAACCAAGAACTGTACACGTTTAAGGAGTTACGCATGTCCCATTAGAAAGTATTTGTTGTGCCCTGTGTTAAATTAGTCTCAATGATGAGACAGAAAAACGACACCTTCATGTTTGAATTTTTGTCCTGAGCCAGCTGAAAACTTTTAAAAAGTATTTCATAATAATTAAATGTCAGTATAATTATAAATCAGTGAATATGTATTTTAAAATATTTATATATTTTTCAGAAAATATATAAATTTCATATATTTATATATTTACTAAGTTTACTATGTGTCCAGTGCAATAGGAAAACCCAGAGTTTATTGTGAAATATGTACTACATTAAAAGTTTACTTTAAATTACAAAAGCAGGGTATATATGAGAGAAACTAACTTGAGAGGAGGGAATAACAGATTGAAAGTGAAGCACAATTTAGGATCTAAGGTATTCTAACCCTAAACATTAGTTTGGATGGGCTAAGTGATACTCTTACAATGGAACAGATTTTGCTCACTGACTTTATCTCAACTCTAAACTGTGTTAATTGCCTGCCAACTTCAAACCAATTTTCAAACCTATATTAGATCACCTTAATTTGTCTTTCTTTAAAAACGAGAGAGGTTGGTCAACTGGTAGCAAATTACAGTTAGAAGAAATAAAGTCCTGGTGTTTTGTTGCACAGTAGGGTGAATATAGTCAAACATAATTCATTATATATGTTAAAAATAACCAAAGTGGTTATTTTGATTCTGGTTCTTTCAAAATTCTCATCACAAAGAAATATTTAATGTTTGAAGTAATGAATATACTAAATACCCTGATTTGCTCATCAGATAGACATGTATCAAAACAAATCATACCCCATAAATATGTACATTTATTGATAATGAAAAACAAAACTAAAGCAAAGACTTTTTGATCACAATAGCAATGCAAAAAAAATCTCATTTCTAATGACTTTGAAAGTAGTATAGACTCATTGCTTTACAAAGTAAATTGAAAATACTATTAAAATGATGGTTGGCTGCGATCCACTATTCCAGAAATAACTCTTGGAGCACTTACTGAACATCATTAGAAAATATCAAGTGAAAGTATAGAAAGTCTTAAAGTGAGAAGTTGTTTTCACTTAAAAGTGAGAGGTTATTTTTCCCTTAAGGTGCTGACATGAGTGTTTTTTGCACAGAGATATAAACTGCTTTTGAAAGCTTGGTACATATCTTAATTCTTCAGTACTGTATATATACTCCTTGAGAAAATAATCATATTGTTTATATTGTTGACTTTTCTTAAATTACATATTTATTGTAGAAATTAGATAAACAGTAAATTATGAAGGAAAAGTACTTAATTCTATGAGCAACCAACCTCTTAAGATTTGAGGACGGTTTTTTTTCTCTGAAGTCACTGGTGATGGCCATAGTTTAAGTCAGTTCTACTGGAGCTAAGGGGGCACTTGATTCCAGAAAGAATATACAGATACCAATTCTGAAAGTATAACATGCCTGTATCATTAGAGTCTATGCAGTAATGTCCTTTATTGATGCTTCAGCTACACCCTCCCCAGGCTCCAAGCAAGGGATTGACGGTATTGGTTGAAAGACAGTTTTAAAACAAAATTCTTTTAAAGAAATAACAGACACAACCATAAAATAACTCAGATGGTCTGTATTAGAGTTCAACTTTGGAATCACCTGAAGATCTGTTAAAATACAGATTTCCATGTCTCACCCTGGAGTCTGTATTCAAAAGTAGAAATCTCATGTCCAAAAATTTTAAGGTCGGGGCTAGGGATTTAGCTTAGTGGTACGGCGCCTGCCTGGTAAGCTCAAGGTTGTGAGTTCGATTCCTGGTACTGGAAAAAAACCAAAAACAAAAAAAATGAAATGTTAAGGTCAAATGTCCATTACTTGACTGGGTGTGGCCAGAGGGTTGAATTAAATTAGGACAGTGTACTTCCCGTGAAAATCATATGGGTAGAATGGGGGAAAACCGTGTGCTGTAAAAGTCGGCCTGTTTCCATAAGTTCGCCAAGTTCGTGATGGGGTGGATAGATCCACATCACAAGTGTCTTGAGTGCATAAAATAAAATTATTTTGTGTCAGGGTGATCAGTTTGAAAAGGATATGGAAGTCCCACCCTCCATGGTGATAAACCAAGTCATGTGTGCCTTTCAAAGGGGGATAGCTCTCAAAGTGCTGGCATTGTCTG